CTCTCCCCCCCCTCCCACACACACACAAACACACACACAAACACACACACACACACACACAAACACGAGGATGATCTGAAGGGCACTTACAATGTTCTCATCAATGCCAGGAAATGGGAGGAAAGACTTGATTTGATTGCATTGGGTTTCACAGACTCCTCACTTTAGGGCCGTTTGCTCGCAAGCCCTGCGCATGCTATTGGCTATGTATTTATTTATATTTATTTATTTTATTCTATTTCATGTTTCGTTTTCATTTCTCTTCTTCTTCCAACAACAAAAAAAAAGGAGGACTCATTTGCTCAGTCAGGATCCGATGTCTGAATCTCAGGATCTCTAAATGAAACAGTGAGTGAGTGAGTGAGTGAGTGAGTGAGTGAGTGAGTGAGTGAGTGGGTGACACTCACACACACACACACACACACACTCAGACATCAATGGGCTGTTATTTCACACACACTGACCTGTCGCCAGTCATTGATCGCTCTTTACAAACACCAAGTTTTACCGCATCCTCACGGTACACCTTTAATACAAGTGTAAAACCTAATTGCACACAGACACACACACACAGACACACACACACAGACACACACACACAGACACACACACAGACACACACACAGACACACACACACACACACAGACACGCGATTAAAGCTGCACTCAGATACACGCAGACAGCGGCACCTTTAGCCATTTGACAATTTCCCCCCAAATCCCTATACCACAACTCCCTCTTTTCCCACAGGTCTTTCCTCCTCCAAGTCGTATCGTGCAGAGATTCATTTTATTCCCTCCCCACCCACCCACCCCCCCACCCACACCCGCACCCACCCACCCACACGCGCGCGTGTGTGCGTGTGTAAAAAATAAATAAATACACAGTGTGTAAAAGTAATGAAGTGCACATTAGATCGGAAACGAAGATACGGTAAATTCACACCACCCACACCCACACCCCCTGAACTGAATAAATATAAGGCGCAAAGAAGCCGCCGGAAAAGCAAAGACTGTGCAAATAAAGCAAATCGAAGAGCGGTCTATTTTGGGACTGGGAAGCAGAGGGTTATTCATTATTAAATGTTCCAAAGCGCTGCCCAACTGAGGGCTCCTTCAAACATCGACACATTCGTAAATTCATTCGGATTTGTATTTGTAGATATTAGAATAGCCCAAATCACTGGACTATTTGAACTGTTTGTCTTCCTATATATATATATATATATATATACACACACACAAACGCACACATAATATATATATATATAGATATAGATATAGGAGAGGATGAAACTCATTCTAACGGTGTTTTTATATAAATATAAATTTTCACAAAACAACTGAGATGTGACAGGAGCCACGATATAGCCCCGATCCCCTGCCATTTTCTGCAAATAAGCTTCATCCCCAGAAGAGTCAGCAGCACACACACAACACATGACATCTCCTCCTTCTCTCTTTCTCTCTCTCTCTCTCTCTCTCTCTGTGTGTGTTCCGCAGGAGGATCTCCGTCATTTATTTATTCATTTGTTAATTTATTTATTTTTTAATTTCGCTGAAACATTTTCGATCGGTTCTGCGAAACGATAACCAGCCACTGGCGAAATAATCACAGAAAGCCCCGTCGAACCTGAAACAGCGCTGTGATGCTGAGCAACTGGTCCACACACACACACACACAGCACTGCACAGCACACACACAGCACTGCACAGCACACACACAGCACTGCACAGCACACACACAGCACTGCACAGCACACACACACAGCACTGCAACAGTACACACACAGCACTGCACAGCACACACACAGCACTGCACAGCACACACACAGCACTGCACAGCACACACACACAGCACTGCACAGTACACACACAGCACTGCACAGCACACACACAGCACTGCACAGCACACACACACAGCACTGCACAGCACACACACACAGCACTGCACAGCACACACACAGCACTGCACAGCACACACACAGCACTGCACAGTACACACACAGCACTGCACAGCACACACACAGCACTGCACAGCACACACACAGCACTGCACAGCACACACACACAGCACTGCACAGTACACACACAGCACTGCACAGCACACACACAGCACTGCACAGCACACACACAGCACTGCACAGCACACACACAGCACTGCACAGCACACACACAGCACTGCACAGCACACACACAGCACACACACAGCACTGCACAGCACACACACAGCACTGCACAGCACACACACACAGCACTGCACACACACACAGCACACACACACACACAGCACTGCACACACACACACAGCACTGAACAGCACACACACAGCACTGCACAGCACACACACAGCACTGCACAGCACACACACAGCACTGCACAGCACACACACACACACAGCACTGCACAGCACAGCACACACACAGCACTGCACAGCACACACACACACACAGCACTGCACAGCACACACACAGCACTGCACAGCACACACACACAGCACAGCACACACACAGCACTGCACAGCACAGCACACACAGCACTGCACACACAGCACTGCACACACAGCACTGCACAGCACACACACAGCACTGCACAGCACACACAGCACACACACACAGCACTGCACAGCACACACACACAGCACAGCACACACAGCACACACACAGCACTGCACAGCACACACACACAGCACAGCACACACACAGCACTGCACAGCACACACAGCACTGCACAGCACAGCACACACAGCACTGCACAGCACACACAGCACAGCACACACAGCACAGCACAGCACAGCACACACACACAGCACTGCACAGCACACACACAGCACTGCACAGCACAGCACACACAGCACACACACAGCACTGCACACACAGCACTGCACAGCACACACACAGCACTGCACAGCACACACAGCACACACACACAGCACTGCACAGCACACACACACAGCACAGCACACACAGCACACACACAGCACTGCACAGCACACACACACAGCACAGCACACACACAGCACTGCACAGCACACACACAGCACAGCACAGCACACACAGCACAGCACTGCACAGCACACACAGCACTGCACAGCACACACACAGCACTGCACAGCACACACACACAGCACTGCACTGCACACACAGCACACACATACACACACACAGCACTGCACAGCACACACACACACACACACAACAACACGGGTCGGGAGGACACGGGAACCATGAAAATGGATGTCTCTGTGCAGACCGATGCTCCAGGGTGTTGCGGTGGCAAAATAGTTCTATATGTACGAGCGATCCGATGTTTCCTTCGGCAAAAAATAGACCTGATACATAAATAACCTTCACGTCACTTCCTTTAATTCGCCCGAGTTAGTTATCAGGGGCTTCCTAGTTACACAGAGGAAGCGCCCCCCAAACCCCCCACTGCGGGGCTGTGGGGAGCTTTGCTTCATGACCTGCCATTCATTTGCACCCTCTGTGTTTGCGCCCTTCTGATCACCTCAATAAATAAAGCGCACAGTTACACACACACACCACATACACACATCACACACCACACACCACACACACACATCACACACTACACACCACATACACACATCACACACTACACACCACATACACACATCACACACTACACACCACATACACACATCACACACTACACACCACATACACACATCACACACCACACACACATCACACACCACACACACATCACACACCACACACACATCACACACCACATACACACATCACACACTACACACCACACACACACATCACACACTACACACCACACACACACATCACACACCACACACACATCACACACCACATACACACATCACACACTACACACCACACACACACATCACACACTACACACCACACACACACATCACACACCACATACACATCACACACCACATACACACATCACACACTACACACCACACACACACATCACACACCACACACACATCACACACCACATACACACATCACACACTACACACCACATACACACATCACACACTACACACCACATACACACATCACACACCACATACACACATCACGCACTACACACCACATACACACATCACACATCACACACCACATACACACATCACACACCATATACACACATCACACACTACACACCACATACACACATCACACACTACACACACATCACACACCACATACACACATCACACACCACATACACACATCACACACTACACACCACATACACACATCACACACTACACACCACATACACACATCACACACCACACACACATCACACACCACACACACACATCACACACTACACACCACATACACACATCACACACTACACACCACATACACACATCACACACCACACACACATCACACACCACATACACACATCACACACTACACACCACATACACACATCACACACTACACACCACACACACACATCACACACCACATACACACATCACACACACACGGGCAATGGGAGGCTCACACACTCCCTGTCCGGGTGGTGCAACTCACACACATCATCCAAGCGACGTTTCCAATATTTCAGCTTCCATAGGAAAAGGGGGATTACCCTCTATTACATACATAGAGGGATAGAAAGAGAGAGATAGATAGATAGATAGATAGATAGATAGATAGATAGATAGATAGATAGATAGATAGATAGATAGATAGATAGATAGATAGATAGATAGAGAGATAGAGAGATAGAGAGATAGAGAGAGAGAGACCCCGAAGGCAATGACTCATTCTTATTTTATTGTATTTTTAAAAAAAAATAACATACACTCATCACCATTGAATATCAACGGAAGTCAGAACTACCCCCACACCCCCCACACCCCCACCTCCCCCCCCACACCCCCACCTCCCCCCCCACCCCCCCACACACACACCGTCAAAAAAAAAAGAAAGGTCCTTAAACGGGGAGGAAAATGTTCTGTAACTCACCTCTGGCGTGATTTATGGAGCTGTCGAAAGTACTCAGTCTACCAGATCTCTTTAAAGCAAACCGAATTTTCCGTATCCTCTCTTGTCAGTGATAATTATTCCAGGGCTCCTCGCAGATAGGCTTTCTTTTTTTTCCCCCCCTTTTTTAAGATCGTACCAGCGAAAAGGCGGATCATCCGGCAATGATGCATTCTTCCAGAAACTGAAGGGGGGAGATGGCTGAGATCTGTGGGATGGCCATATCCAAATAAATAAAGACGGCGTAGCTGTGTGTGTGTGTGTGAGAGAGAGAGTGAGTGAGTGTGTGTGAGAGAGAGTGAGTGAGTAAGTGTGTGTGTGTGAGAGAGAGTGAATGAGTGTGTGTGAGAGAGTGAGTGTGTGTGTGTGTGAGAGAGAGAGAGAGAGAGAGAGAGAGTGTGTGTGTGTGAGAGAGAGTGAGTGAGGGTGTGTGTGAGAGTGAGTGAGAGTGAGTGTGTGTGAGAGAGAGTGAGTGAGTATGTGTGTGTGTGTGAGAGGGAGTGAGTGAGTGTGTGTGTGAGAGAGTGAGTGTGTGTGTGTGTGTGTGAGAGAGAGAGAGAGAGAGAGAGAGAGTGAGTGAGTGTGTGTGAGAGAGAGAGTGAGTGAGGATGTGTGTGAGAGAGTGAGTGAGTGAGGATGTGTGTGAGAGAGTGAGTGTGTGTGTGTGTGTGTGAGAGAGAGAGAGAGAGAGTGAGTGAGTGTGTGTGAGAGAGAGTGAGTGAGGGTGTGTGAGAGTGAGTGAGAGTGAGTGTGTGTGTGTGAGAGAGTGAGTGACTGTGTGTGTGTGTGTGAGAGAGTGAGTGAGTGTGTGTGAGAGAGTGAGTGAGTGTGTGTGTGAGAGAGTGAGTGACTGTGTGTGTGTGAGAGTGAGTGAGAGTGAGTGTGTGTGTGTGTGAGAGAGTGAGTGAGTGAGTGTGTGTGAGTGAGTGAGTGAGTGAGTGAGTGTGTGTGAGTGAGTGAGTGAGTGAGTGAGTGTGTGTGAGTGAGTGAGTGAGTGAGTGAAGGTGAGTGAGTGAGTATCCCTCTCCCTCTCCCTCTCCCTCTCCCTCCCTCCCTTCTTTGCAATTTTACCAGCGATCGGCTCGATCAGCATCACATAAAAGTCTTTTATTTTATTTTTACCCCCCCCCCACCCCCCCACCCCCCCCACCCCACCCCAACCTCAACCTCAACCCCAACCCCAACCCCAACCTCAACCAAACCTCCTGTATGTACCCGGTAAAGCCATGGGAAGCCCAGGCGGCTGCAGGCGCGGGTTCATCCATTTGGAGCTAAAGGTATATGTCAATATTGCAACAGCTGTGCGATCAGTCAATAGTTTATCAACATATATAGTATATATATATATATATACAGTGCAATCAAATCATGGTTAAACTATTACAATGATTAATCCAACAAGCGCCGAGGAGATGCATTTGCATCACATATATATATATATATATATATATATGTGTGTGTGTGTGTTTAACTGGAGTTTAAAGCGGTTTGTGGGATTAATTGCTATTCATTTTTGGAAGCAGAAATGGACATCTCAACCACAGCAATGCTCAGCGCCTCTGACAGGCGGCCGCTGTTTAATTGGGTCTCCAAAAAAATCTCCCATCAAGAGAGAGAGAGAAGAGAGAGAGAGAGAGAGAGAGATGGGTACACGTGCGATGTTGCGGTCGTGCGGTTGCTTAGCAGCCCTTTTTGATCCTTGATCGTTATTAATGCCGAGGGGACTCGCAGTGAGAGAGAGAGAGAGGGAGAGAGGGAGAGAGAGAGAGCCAACGTGTTACCAAGAGAAGAGGAAGAGACAGAAGAGAGACCTTAATCGCGATCACAACGGTTATCATCAACAACCACGCACCACACTCATCTATGGACTGACTGGTCCTCCTCCCAATGTTCAACTCCCCAACCTTTATGAGGTTTTATGGCCATTTGATACAAATCAGAAGCCCAGTGGTCAGTTGATTGGCGGATCGCATTCCCAGAGTTAATGATCCCCTCGAAGAAAAAAAATCGCAGTGATCATAACGTGCGGGTTTGCGGGTCACTGCTGCGTGCACCGTCGGCCGCCTCGTTTCACCCACCGTCAAATTCACTTTACGGTGTATTCTGTGAAGCGGTTCGGGTCCTTTCAATGATGTGTTAAGGCGCTTTATCAAATGCAAGTATTGTTACGAGGAATCTTTGCATTTGATATGACACCTTATTTCATGGTCGAGACATCTGAAAGAGCATCTTGGGATTGATTTCTACTGGGAAGTGTAGTGACTGCGTATTTTGAAGGTGAACAGACTGTTAATGAGTCGCAATCGGATAGAGTCCTAATATCGCAGGAGTTGACTTTTCTTTGATTTGTGCTGACAGGCAATTCACTTGCACCTGTTTATTTTCCTTTTCCATTAAATATGTCTAGGTGATATTACCCTCATATGCAAATCTGATAAAAGGCCATGTTTGCCAATTCAGAATTAGTTCTGCATTGAGTAAGCACTGATTGCAGCCATTCTTGTTCTGTGTGAACCCAGCTATAAAACCTTTCTCCTTCCATTTCCTAGACAGTCACTGAGTTGTACTTGCCTAAGTTAATGTGCGCGTTCAACAAGAATGTTGGTAAAAGAAACACATGTGTGCAAATATATAGATATGCAAATAAATTGGTCATTCACTTCATGGCTGTTTTTGTGACAACAATATTTATATAGCACCTTTTACGTTCGAAGGATGTGCGAGAGATTGATATAGGCAAATTGACTGCTGCCTTTGTCTGCAAAATATACTGTCCCTACGTTAGACAGTAATTCCTGTGAAGTGCTTCGAGATGTCTTGACGATATGATAAGGTGCTGTATCAAAACCAGAGATTATTATTATGATGATGATGATTATTAATAAATATGTAATATTTAAAAGAAATCATTGTCCTTGCAGGCACTTTCTAGAGGATATTTCAGTTTCTGCCGTTGCCAGCAACAGCATGAATTGGAAACTATTGGCACAGTTGCTGTATTTGCTTGTTGATGTCTTTCTCTGCTGAACCGATGTCTTCTGCACCCTAACTATAGCAAAGTGAATGGATATAAAATAGTGAAGTCCTTGTGTTAATCCAGACTCTTGAGGTTCTTTCTATCATTTTACCAGAACACCCATCCACTTGAGATCAAGCAGCACAACAAGTTCCACAGTAAACTCCATTGGGCTGATTTTTGCTTAAAGGTAACATGTTTCTACATTGTGCATAAAGGACATTGTGTATAAAACATATATAAGAGTGTGATCATTATTTCTGCGATTATCCTGTTGATTATGACTGTAACAATTTCACTGTGTTGTAAGCAGTTTTGACTAGTGCAAAGCTTTAATGTAACAAGAGGGTTGTGAAACTGCATAGTGCACTGCCCAAGAAGAGTGCAGAGATATAATCAATTGAGATGTTTAGAGGGTGTCAAGGGTAATGGAGAAAAGGAAAGGAAATCAGATTAAATGATCTGCCGGCATTTAATATGATGGTGGAACAAGTTTAACAAGCTGAGCAGCTTCCAGTTTTCCAATATTCTAATATTCCTAAGTGTTGTATCATGCAATGATACAAATGACACTGAATGACACAAATAAGACAATCATCAACATGCCAAAACTTTTGATATTTTATTGATAGCCTTTTTTTTATAAAATGGCCAAAGGCAATAAAGTGGGACATAAGGGATCTAAAAGAGAATTTAGGAGAAACTTCTTCACGTGGAGGGTGGTGAGAATGTGGAAGGCTCTGTCCAAAGAAGTGGTCGAAATAGATAGTATAGATGCATTTAAGAGGAAGCACAATATACACACTGGGGGTGGGGGGTGGGGGCAGGCAATAGAAGGGTATGAGAGGGAGTAAGGAATGAGTGGATTCATGTGATATAGTGCATTTGATATAGTGTCTTTCACATTAGGAGGACAGTCCGAAGCGCTTCATGAGATTTACTGTGAAATGGAGTGACTGTGTCTTTGTGGGCGAACCTGGCTGCCAATTTGTGCTCAGCCCAGCAATGCCCACAAACAGCCATGAATTGAATGACCAGTTTTATTTGAGGGATTATTGGCCAAGACATTGGGAGAAGCTCCTTTCTCTTTTTGAATGGTGCCATGGGATCTTTAACAGGCAAACAATACCTTGGTTTAACGTTTCGTCGAAGGATGGCACCTCTGACAATGCAACACACTGTTTCCTTGCTGTACAGTCTACGTAAATCTGTATATTGCTCATTTGAAAGGAAGATGCTCATTTTCAAGTGATATTCATTTGCAAGGAAAAATAAGTATTTGAAGTACAAATGAGGCAGGAAATCTGGTTGCTGGTGTAGTTTAACATGGATGTGCTCTAAGTGTGAGAGAAATGAAACAGCAGATGGTATTTTGTTTCTCCTTTGCCTTCGATTTCCTTTCTGTCATTGGTTCCAATGAATACCTATTGTCCTTTTAGCATAGACAAGATGGTTTCATTGTGCATTCTACATAAACACTTTACGTAGATATTTTCTACCAGCTAACCAAGGTGTGCACTAATAATGAAAACACCAGTCTGCTCAGTTCTACACAGAGTCAAAGACAGAGAAATAAATAATGGAAAGAAAGGGAATGGGGTGACAAATTAATTGAGAGGAAACACAGGGGATAAGGGATAAGGGGATAACACAGGGGGTTAGTGAGAATGTAGGAAAAGAGAGAAAAACAAGTTGTGGCATAGAGCGAGAGGGCACAACAGATGAAAAAAACAGGTGTTAGAAAGCAATAAGCAGTGAGTGAAAGAAGAGATACAGAAGCAGAGGTCATGAAGAGAAAAAGGGAGAAAATGTGATCAAATGGGGGATAAGAGCGAAAGGATGGAAGCAGATGAAAGGATGGATTGGTTGTACTTCAACACACAGATATATTCAATTCAAGCTTTGATGAGATGAATGTGGGCTCATAAAACAATTTAATTGGCTCTTGACTACATTATTTGTCACTCAGGGGGATATGAAGGGGCTTCCCTGCTGCAATTTTTTAAACAAAAGTGAACATTTCTCCGGGATACCTTGTTTTACAATCCCTTCTCATCCAAATTCATCCCCAAAATTCTAATCAATTGGCTGCTTATCATTGTTTGTGAGGATGGCACTGCTGCCAATTAACTCCCGCATTTACCTCTATTGCAACGTTGTTTTCATTTCTATTTAATTTTGTTCTGTGGAGCACTTTGAGGCGTTTCCTTTACCTGAAATGCACTATCTAAATTTAAGTTGT